TGTCCTGACTGGGTGCGGTAGCTCACGCCTGTAATCCTAGCACTCTGGGAGGCCGAGGTGGGCGGATTGCTCAAGGCCAGGAGTTCGAACCAGCCTGAGCAAGAGTGAGACCCCGTCTCTACTATAAATAGAAAGAAATTAATTGGCCAACTAATATATATAGAAAAAACTAGCCGGGCATGGTGGCGCATGCCTGTAGTCCCAGCTACTCGGGAGGCTGAGGCAGGAGGATCGCTTGAGCCCAGGAGTTTGAGGTTGCTGTGAGCTAGGCTGATGCCATGGCACTCACTCTAGCCTGGGCAACAAAATGAGACTGTCTCAAAAAAAAAAAAAAAAGTGTGTTCTGGGCCCAGAGAGACTCTTACTCCCTCCCAATACACAGGCACTCAGATGTGGGGGTGATGAAGTCAGAAAGGAAAGCAGGAAGATGATTGTCATGAGAGTTAGGTGACATCCTACCTCTGGGGTAAGGAGGGGGAGGGCTGTCACCAGGGAAGGAAATGAAGAGGGTTGGTGGGAGGGCTGGCAATGGACCTGGTTATTGGCTACATAGGTGCCTACTTAATGTGGCACATCTTCCATTTATGTTTGCTGCACTTTCCTGCATTTACATACTATTTTACACTACAATAATCCCAAACTCTATGGCTCACCCCCAAAGAAGCAGCTCAAAAGTCAGGACTCCCAAATGTTTACCCAAGCCCATCAATTCCCCAAACTCTGAAACGTCAAAACAGAAACTTCAGGTATAGCCCAAGCCCAGCAGCGCCACCCAAGAGCCAGCCCCTCCCTGAATGAGAGAACGGCCTCACCTGGCAGGTCCCTTTCGCCCCCTAGAGCCAGCCCGTCCTTGGTCCACTGAACCAGCCCCCCGTAGGCGCCCAGAGCGCAAGGCAGCCGGGCCTCCTCCCCCAGCAGCACCACTAGGTCCTCCGGCTGTTGCAGGAAATGGGGCGACGTGCCTAGGAGAATGGGGGCAGCAGAGGCGAGCTCGGCACAGGCAAGAACCCCCTCATTGAGGACCCGGGAGTCCAGTTCCCAGCCCCTTTCCCCTCAGGCTAAGAAGCCCTGGCCTCCAGAGTTCTCCCCCCAACCAGGTCCCCCAACCCCTTTTCCCTAGTAAGGTGACAGCCAACCCCCCCCATTCATGCTCTCCCCTTTGCGGTACCTGCGTGCGCTCTGAAGCAGAAGAGGAGGACGAGCAGGGCAGGGACCAGCATCCTGACTGCGTGTCCCCCAAGGTCCACGAGATTTGCAGTTGCGCCGGCTTTCCTGCCAACTTCTTCCTCCTAAGCGCGCCTCCCGCCACCCGGGCCGGAGCCCCCTTCGCGCTCCACTCGGCCCCAGGCTAGAAGACTCCGGGAGCCCCCCAAGTCTGCTTGCCCGCAGCCCGGGACGCTCTGAAGCTCTGAAACGCCTGCCCATCGCGCGCCCTCGGTCTCCGAGAGGCCCGGGGCGGGGGTGGGGGCCCGATCACGCTCGCCCCGCCCCGGCCGCCCGGGGGCCCCGCCCCTTCCATTGAGAAACTCGGGCCGAGGCGCGCATGAATGGGGCTCGCGGGCCGGGTTCTGCGGCGGGCGGGCGCCCCAGCCCGGTTGGAGTCTGGGAGCCGGAACACCTGGGTCCCAGGAGGGGGTCCCGGCCGGGTTGGACACCTGTGCCCTGCCGGGGTGGCGGGGGCGGCATGGGGGTGACGAGAAGGGAAGGGAGGGAGTGGAAGAAACTTGCTCAGCCCAGGTCCTGGAGGGACTGCGCTGAGTGGAAACGCAGCTATAAATGGGAGCCCTGGGGGCCTCGCCAGTTTCCGCGCCCTGGGGACGCGGGCTCTGGGACTCCCCTGGGCCTGGGGGTCGGGAAGAGGGCACTCGGGGTGCCTGCGGGGCAACTGGGACCCTGAGAAGAAGGGGGCTCAGCTTCCTGCACCTCAACGTCCCCCCACCCCAAATATCCCTCTGCTGCCTCGTTGCCACTGCAAAGCACAGCACGTTCTAAACCCAGGCGTCCAGGCCGCCAGCCCCTCCTTTCCCAGGACCCCTCTCCCTGCCCGGCCGGCCGGGCCCCTCGGCGCGGTTGCCGGGCGACGGCTGGGAGGCGGCGGTGCGGGGCTGGGAACCGCGCAGCTTGAGCTGACGGCTCCAGGCAGCCCAGCTGGGGCGTTCCCACGCCGCGCAGCTGGCCAGCAGGTGGGCGGGACCCTGAGCCGCCCGAAGGAGGGCTGGGGGCTGGGGGGACCCTGGGTCTGACATTCCTGGGCCTGTAGGGACTGGGGGTCCACATTCAGGTTCGCAGTTGGTCACACAAGATTGGCCATTCAGGGTAGTATGGCCGCAGACAGGGTCTCGCTCACTCTCAGGCTCCGGCTCTTGCGTTTCCAAAAGGCCGGGAGGGGTGAGGGGGTGGGGGCTGGATTTCCAGGATTGTAAGGGACTGGTGTGTCTGACCTTTGTGGCTGAGAAGCTGATAGCCTGATCTCTGGGTTCCTTGAGGGGTTCTGACTGCAACGGGGTGCTCTTGGGAGAGGATTTCTGGTCTTAAGTCTTAGAGTCAGTGGATTTAACCACCAATCTCTGCCCGCCCCCACACGGCCCAGGGGGATTTGAAAGTGGACAGTGAGCATCTGTCCTAAGTCGTGCGTGTGTATATGGAGTAGTGGGGGGAGGATTGGAGGCCTGAACTCGGGGGTCCTCGGTGAAAAGGGGGTGAGACTCCAGCGTGTGAGAGCAGAGGGTCCTGGGGTCCCAGACCCCTCGTGTTGGGGGCCCGAACGCCTGGCTTCGGTGTTGCAGATCCAGTGCCCGGATTTGGAAATAGGTTGGGTTCGGGGCCAGGACTCCTGGGTCTTGGGGAGGAAGTCAGGTAGTGAGGCCTGTTTTTCCAGACACCTGATATTTCTTCCCTTTCCTGGTCCTCTGGGGGCCACGAGCATGGAAAGATGTTGAGCCCACGGTCCCAGGAGCATGCGGAGAAGGAAAACAGCCAAGGCGGAGGGTGGAAGGTTTGTGCTAATTAAAGGTCCAGCAACTGCCAGCTCTACGCCCTGGCGCCCAGGGACACCATCTGGTGACAGACCCCACCCCCGCCCCCACCCCAGCTCAGCATCCAGCCCTTTTCCCAGGAGGTGTGGGGGCGGTCGGGAGAGGCAGTGCAGCAGGAGGGCAGGAGTCAATGATGGGAGGGAAGAAGGCAGATGAGAGGGGCGCCCAGGATGGAGCTGTGGGGGCGCGGGCCACATGCCTCCTCTGCCTGGAGGAGGAGCAGATAGGGGCTGCCGGGAGGGGAAGAAACCGAGCCGTTCCCATTCCCGAAGGAGACACGCCAGCATAGCTCAGCCCATGCGAGTGTGCGCGTGCTCACTGGGGCGAGGAGGGCCGCCAACTAGCACACGCTTGGAAAACGCTGGGAGGTGACAGTCAGGGGGACCCAGAGACAGATGAAACAAGGAGAAAGAGGCACAGCCAGAGGGTGACTGAGAGCAAATATTTATTGGGCTCCTGGAGTGTGTGAGAGACAGAGTGTGGGGTGGGGTAGCGGGTACAGAGATGAGCACAGGGCCGGAAAGACAGAAAAACAGAGACATGAAGAGGCACAGAGACAGAGAGAAAGTGAAATATTAAAGGATGGCTGCGATTTAGCCACTTCATGCAGAGAGAGAGAGAGAAGAGTTTCAAGGAGATGGAGGAAGATAGAAAGATACATCAAGATGGGTAGAGGGAGGGAGAGAGAGAAACATGGAGAAGGAAGACAGAGACGGGGGAGATGGCAAGACACAGAGACAGAAGGAAGCTCACGCAGCCCTTGCCGAAGGACAGCCACGCGGGGCTCACTGCTGCCCCACGCCGAGGGCTGGAGGACAGGGGCCCTGCCTTTCCCTCCCACCCACTCCGCCCACGCCCCGCACACGCCCACTTTGCACGCTCACACGCTCCCCACGTGCGTGTCGCAGATCACGGTTGACGCTCACTCTTGCAGCTCCCCAGCAGAGATCTCCGATCTCATTGAGGTGCTGGTGTCTACCCGGGGAAGGAAGGGACATGCCCGCATCATGTACCGGGACAGGGAAGAGCTGCAGGGCCCAGCTCTCTGCTCCCCACGCTGAGCTGGGGGACCGCCCAGGTCCGACCTCTTTCATGTTCCCAGCCTAAGCCAGGCCCTTGGGGTCACGGGGGCAGGGGAGGCACTGAGGAATGTGCTTGGCATGTGCTGACGGGGGATTTCAGAGGCTGGCGCTGGGGACAGGGGAGGGCACCTGGGGGAGGCAGCAGTGTGAGGACAGGCTCAGGCCGGGTTAGAGAACCGGGACCAACTCTGCCACTGACCACATCGGCCTTGTTGCTCGCTCGCCTGGGCTCATGGCGCCTGCAGGACTCTGAGCAGCTGGGGCTCCCTGGGGACAGTGAGTGCTGAGAGGAGGGGAGCAGGGGCAGGGGTGGCCGGAAAGAGAGAGAGAGATCAGGGTGAGGTGGGGTGAGGTAGAGGACTTTGAGAGAGAAAGAGCCTCTAGGCAGGGAGAGAAAGATAGAGGAAGAGACAGAGACGGAGACATAGAGATTGGAAGAGGAAGACAGAACGAGAGTGAGAGAGACAGGACAAGAAAGATAGAAAGAAAAACAGGAAGCAGACACCCAGAGAGGGTACCAGACAGCCAGAGGCAGACGCTGGTGGCAGGCAGAGGGCACTGTCGGAGCCACCGCCAGAGGACCTGCTATGGCCCTAAGGCCCCTCACCAGGGCTCCTCTGCTGCTCCTGGGACTGCTGGCCACAGGTGAGTGGGACCCTGGCCTTGCACTCGGTGCCGTCTGGCCCTCATATCCTACCCGTGTTCCCTAGACAGACCCCTGCCCTTTTCTGGTGACTCCCTTGCGTCCCCAGGCCTGGCCCAGTTGCCACTTCCTGCCTCAGTCCCCCGAGGCTTCTGGGCCCTGTCCAAGAACCTGACAGCCGTGGAGGGGGCCTCGGTCCAGCTGCAGTGCGGGGTCAGCGCCCCGGGCAGTGCGGTGCAATGGGCCAAAGACGGGCTCCTCCTGGGCCCCGACCCTCGGATCCCGGGCTTCCCCAGGTACCGCTTGGAAGGGGACCCTACTAGAGGTAAGTGACCAGAGCCTGAGACCCTGAGCCACCAGCAGAGGCCGTGGCCCTGACCTCGGGCCCCACCCCCTGCAGGTGAATTCCACCTGCACATCGAAGCGTGTGACCTCAGCGATGACGCAGAGTATGAGTGCCAGGTCAGCCGCTCGGAGACGGGCCCCGAACTTGTGTCTCCCAGAGTGATCCTGTCCATCCTGGGTACGGGTGAGAGACCCCCAGCACCCACAAGTCTCCTCCTGCTCCAGGACCCAGGAGTCCAAGTCCCCGGGGGCCCCTCCCGCAGACTCTGGGTACAGGGCTCCTTTCACGAGCAAGGAGACTCAAAGCCCCAATCCTCACCTCCTTTGTCACCAGTCCCCCCCAAGGTGCTTCAGCTGACCCCCGAGGCAGGGAGCACAGTCACCTGGGTAGCTGGGCAAGAGTACGAGGTCACTTGTGTGTCCGGAGATGCAAAGCCAGCGCCCGATATCACCTTCCTCCAGAGTGAGTGTGGGGGGATTGGTGACACTGGTGTGGGACCTGGGAGGGCACATCCCTGGGGAGGCCACCGGAGACAGCAGGGCTGCTGGCTGGGACTCAAGGACGAGGCTGGGCTCAGACAGAAACACGGGCTGCGGCAGCGGCGCAGAAACGAGAAGCTGGGGTGACAGGTGCATGATGCCACCAAGCCAGGAGGCGAGGAGACGACCAGCCCTGAGGACTCCAGCATCCAGGGAGTCCTCAGTGTGGGGGGGGACGGAGCTGGTGCCCAGGAGGGACGGGGCGTCATGCCTACCCTGAGGACCTCCAGGCCATGCTCCCCGGAATCCACCCTGGGGGGACCTTGGCATCCCTCCAGCCCTCTTGTTGCCCCAAGGTGGACAGACAATATCTGACATCTCTGCCACCGTGAACGAGGGGTCCCAGGAGAAACTCTGCACCACAGAGGCCACAGCCAGGTTTGGAAGTTGGGGTGCCCCTCCCCACCCTGATCCCCAAATTTCCCCACGAGAGCCTCATATCACAGGGATTCAAGCATGGAAACTTGGGTCAGGTATAACTATTTGAGACCCAATTCTTCACTGGGACCCTCAAAACTTCTTCATGGGACTCCAGTTCCAGGGTACTGAGCACAAAGATTTTGGCCAGGTGTGGGCCTCTGGGGGCCCCAATTTTCACTACTGCCCCCCTCAAATCTCTCCCATCAAACTCCAGAGCCCAGAGGAAATCAGCATGGGGACTTACACCAGGCGTGGGGACCTGGGATCCCTGACTCCCCAAATTTCAGATGATGACTCTGACCCTAGAATCCCAACTTCCCACCCCAGGGTGACACCCCAGGGCTCGGATAATGGGCAGTTGCTGGTCTGTGAGGGATCCAGCCCGGCTTTGGACACCCCCATCCAGGTCTCAGTCACCATGAATGTTCTGTGTAAGTGGAGAATGGAGCCAGTTCTGGGCGCTGAGGGTGGGGAGCAGGAATTAGGGGTCCTGGGGCGTCACAGGGATTATGGAAAATTCAGGCTCTCGAAGGAGAAACGTGGAGTTCAGAGGCGGGATATGGAGCCTGGGAAGACTGGATGGGCTCCCCCGGCCCACTGAGTGACCGCTGCTCCCCAGTCCCCCCAGGACCCCCTGTCATCGAGTGGCCAGGCCTGGAGGAGGGCCACGTGCGGGCAGGACAGAGCTTGGAGCTGCCGTGCGTGGCCCGAGGCGGGAATCCCTTAGCCACGCTGCAGTGGCTGAAGGTGAGGGCAGAGGAAAGCATGGGGGTTCGGAGGGTGGGGGCAGGAGCTGGCCCTGAGCTGGCCCAAGCCTGTGTCTGCCTCCAGAATGGCCAGCCTGTGTCCACGGCGTGGGGCACAGAACATACCCAGGCGGTGGCCCGCAGCGTGCTGGTGATGATCGTGAGGCCGGAAGACCACGGGGCGCGGCTCAGCTGCGAGGCCCAGAACAGCGTGTCTACAGGGACCCAGGAACGCAGCGTCACGCTGCAGGTCACCTGTGAGTCCTGGCGCCAGCTGCCCATCTGTCAGTCCCTGCCCCAGGGGGCCATCTGTGTGTGCCCCCAAATCACGCCTATCTGATGCAAAGACCTCATCGTCCGTCCCTGTCCCCTGTCCCCTGCCAGTCTGTCTGGGCTGGTTTGGGAGGCAGCCAGCCTGGGCTAGTGGCTTTCCTCTGTCCGTCTGTCCCTGCAGTCCCCCCCAGCGCCATCACCATCCTGGGCTCTGCATCCCAGTCTGAGAACAAGAATGTGACGCTCTCCTGTGTCACCAAGTCCAGTCGCCCACGGGTCCTGCTGCGATGGTGGCTGGGCTGGCGGCAGCTGCTGCCCACGGAGGAGACAGTCACAGACGTGAGGCTGACGAGGAGGGGCTGAGGGTGCTGCTCCTGGAGCTGGGAGGGCAGGGGTCTGCAGCCCGGGGACCTGGGTCCTTGAGGAGCCTGGACTGTCACCCCCGACTCCTGGGGCCGACAGAGGAGCAGGGGGGGGGATGCTTCATGAGTCCCTGCTGGGGTCCGGGCTGACCCAGGTCCCTGGCACCATGGAGGAGGGTTCCCCTCTAGTCCCCAAGTCTGAAGCTCACGTCTGGTCAGGGCCTGCATGGCGGCCACGTCACCATGTCCAACCTGACGTTCCTGGCACGGCGGGAGGACAACGGTCTGACCCTCACCTGTGAGGCCTTCAGCGAGGCCTTCACCAAGGAGACCTTCAAGAAGTCGCTCACCCTGAACGTGAAATGTGAGCCCCTTCCCTGGCCCGGGAATGACCCCAGACTTCGGAGACCCGACCCTCAAGACCCAGCCCAGGGAAAATGTCAATCTTCCTGCCTCTCCTCCCAGATCCTGCCCAGAAGCTATGGATCGAGGGACCCCCAGAGGGGCAGAGCCACCGGGCTGGGACCCGGGTGAGGCTGATGTGTTTGGCCATCGGAGGCAACCCAGAGCCCTCCCTCACCTGGTACAAGGTTGGTGCCAAGAAAGGGCACTGGGGTGGCTCCTTGTCTCTCCTTCAGAATCTTGGGAAATCTTGGGGAAAAAATTGAATTTCCTGAAAAAATACTGGAGATTCTGAGTTTAGGCAGAAAACCAGAAAAAAGACTCAAATGCCATGAGAATTAAACAGAATGCTAGGAATATTCTGGGAATTCTGAGGAAACTGAGAATTCTAAGATAAAAAGTGGAATTTGGAATCAAGAGTGAGAATTCTAGAGTAAAGGTAATACATTCCATTAAAATTAGGGGAAATTCTGGTGAAAAATCTCAGAATTCAGGGGATAGGTTGAGAATTTTAGGGAAAGACTAGAAATTCCAGGAAAAAAAGACAATGATATTCTGAGCAAAGGCTAGAAATTTTGGAGAAAGACTAGTCATTCCACAGAACATTGAAAATTCACTAATATTCAATTGATCGTTGGGATTTGGAGGTAAGAAAATGAAATCCCATTAAAACGAAAAGGAATTCTGACAGAATTCTGCAAAATTCCTGGGAAGTTAGGGAGCCAGTGGAAATTCTGGGGGGAGATTAGGAATTACCGGAATGACAATGTGATTGCATTTTAATTATCGGTAATATAATTCGGTACTCACTAAGAATTTGTGAGGACGGAATATCGGTAATCACTAAGAATTTGTGCAATATAAAGGAATCTAGGGCTGGGCGCAGTGTCTCACTCCTCTAATCCTAGCACTCTGGGAGGCTGAGGAGAGACGATCGCTCAAGGTCAGGAGTTCGAAACCAGCTCTGAACAAGAGCAAGACCTTGTCTGTCTCTACTATAAACAGAAATAAATTAATTGGCCAACTAAAATATATATATAAAGTTAGCTGGGCGTGGTGGCACATGCCTGTAGTCCCAGCTACTCGGGAGGCTGAGGCAGGAGGATCACTTGAGCTCAGGAGATGGAGGTTGCTGTGAGCTAGGCTGACGCCACGACAATCACTCTAGTCCAGGCAACAAAGTGAGACTCTGTCTCAAAAAAAAAAAAAAATTAAACTAAAATAAAGGAATCTAGTAAAAAACTAGGATCATAGGGAATGTCAGGAAGGATTCCGAAATCTAGCGAAAGACGCTGGAATTAAGGAAAAGGTCAAAGGAAATATTTGGGGAAAATGGGCGTTTTAAGAAAAAGAACCGAGGATAGGGGAAAAAACGAAGGCATTCTGGGAAAGGCCTGGGAATTTCAAGGGAGTTTCCTGGCACGTGGCCTTAGGTAAATACAGCAGGAATGCATTTTGGGGAGTGGGGCTGAGGGTCTGCAGGTGGCCGGGGAGGCCGCAGAGACTGTGGGGCGGGGGTGCGGGGGTCCACTGCAGACCCCTCCACCGTAGCATATTCGGGTGCCCGCCGGTGGGGGTGCCTTTTCCTCCCCCCCCCCAAAGGCCCGTCTGGGCTGGCGGCCACCAGCGCGGTGCGGGCGTCTCCGGCTGGGCGGGAGGGGCGGGGTACCCGCGGCCCAGTCATTCCCGGCCCCCAGGACTCGCGCACCGTGACCGAGCCGCGGCTGCCCCAGGAGTCCCGGCTGCCGCAGGAGCCGCGGCGCGTGCAGCTGGGAAGTCTGGAGAAGTCCGGGAGCACCTTCTCCCGCGAGCTCGTGCTGCTCACAGGCCCGTCGGACAACCAGGCCAAGTTCACGTGCAAGGCGGGCCAGCTCAGCGCCTCCACGACGCTCGTGGTGCAGTGTGAGGGCGCGCGGCCCGGGCGGGTGGCAGGGCCGGGCGGGCGCCGGGGAGGGAGCCAGAGCCCGGGGGAGGCTCCGCGGAGGACGCGAGGCTGGCAGGGCCCCGGGGTCCAGGCGGGGCGAAGCAGACCAGGCCGGTCCCCAACCCTGAGCCTCGCTCCTCCAAGTTCCCCCGACTAACTTGACGATCCTGGCGAACGCGTCGGCGCTGCGCCCTGGGGACGCTTTAAACTTGACCTGCGTCAGCATCAGCAGCAACCCGGCGGTCAACTTGTCCTGGGACCAGGAAGGGGAGAGGTGAGGGTACGGGGAGGCCCGTCCCTCTCTGGTTCTGGCCATGCTGCCCTGCACCCCTGTCCCGCCCCCGCCCGACTTACTGTCCTGCCCAGGAGCCCTCCTGCCCCTGGCTCTGGTCCCACCCCCGCGCCAGCCCTGGCCTGACCCCGCCACCTTCTGCCGGCCGGGTACCCAGGCTGGAGGGCGTCCCCGCACCGCCCAGAAGCGCCCCGTTCAAAGGCTCCGCCGCGGCCAAGAGCGTCCTTTTACAAGTGTCATCCCGAGACCACGGCCACCGCGTGACCTGCAGCGCCCACAGCCCCGAGCTCGGCGAGACCGTGAGCTCCTTCTACCGCCTCAACGTGCTGTGTATGTGCCTGGGCCTGGAACCCCTCTCGATCGTCTCCTGACCCTAAACTACTCGGTTCAGTTCGTGACCCCTGTCCTGAAACTCCCCTGACCTTTGTCCTGCCCCCTGGCCCTGCACCAACTCCTATCCTGCCCAACCTCCATCTTGCTTTCGTCCTCTGTCCCGACCCCTCTCTTCGTCCTTAAACCTGACCCTACGCTTTTCCTACACTGGATCCTGACTTCCGTCCTGAACCTCGCCCCTGAGCTCAGCTCTCGACTTTGTGGTTACCTTGTCCCTAAACTCAAACCCAGTCGTGCCCCTGACTTTAACCCTCGAACCTATGCCTGATATCACATCTGTCCCTGACCCCGACCTTTTAACAACAACCCCGACTCCCCGCGGCGCCCCCTCTGAAGACCCTCCGGAGTTCCTGGGGGAGCAGGTGCTGGTGGTGACCGCGGTGGAGCAGGGCGAGGCGCTGCTGCCGGTGTCCGTGTCCGCTAACCCCGCCCCCGAGGCCTTCAACTGGACCTTCCGCGGCTACCGCCTCAGTCCAGGTGCGGGAAGTGGGTGTGGGAGGGGCGCAGGCCTCCGGGATGAGGGGGCCGGCCAGGTCCCTTACCCTAGCCCTCCCCAGCGGGCGGCCCCCGGCATCGCATCCAGGCTGGCGGGGCTCTGCAGCTGTGGAACGTGACCCGCGCCGACGACGGCCTCTACCAGCTGCACTGCCAGAACTCCGAGGGCACCGCCGAGGCGCTCGTGCGCCTGGACGTGCACTGTGAGCTCCCCTCCGCCGCCTGGGGCCCGCGAGCTCTGGAGCCCCGCCCACATGGACGCCACGCCCACCCCGGGACCTTGCCCCCTGTGGTCTCCTTAGCGTGGGAGCTCCACCCACCCAGGGATAGCCACCCAATCTGGAGGCTGCAACCGTGATGTAACCACGCCCACCGCGGAACCCCTCCCACTAGAGAGACCCGGTGTGGAATCTCCACCTAAAGAGGGGTCCGCCTGCCTGGGAGCTGCTCGGACCGGAAGCCGAGCCCACTGTGGAGCTCCACCCCAACACAAATCTGGAAGCTCTTCCAGACTACTCTAATTATCACAGAGGCATGGTAGAGGGTGGGGACAACCACACTAACGCTGAGAACTGTCCTCCAAGTGCCCCAAGAGGGCAGGGTGTATTCACACGCATAACTTCCCTGGACACCTCTAAGACACCCCCACTCCTGGGGCCCTCTCCCACCACGCCCTGTCCGGGCCCAGATGCCTCCCCCAAGCCCCTGCCTCCCCCCAGATGCTCCCACCATCCGCGCCCTCCAGGACCCCACTGAGGTGGACGTTGGGGGCTCTGTGGACATAGTGTGCACCGTTGATGCCAACCCCATCCTCCCGGAGATGTTCAGTTGGGAGAGGCTGGTGAGGCCCCAGCCTCGGGTGAATGGAGGTGGGGTCGTGGGGTGTGATTTCTTGCCTGTGAGCTCCTTGCGAGTGGGGACAGCATGTATGTGACCCTGTGTAGCTATATACTTGTCACGGCTTGCCCCACGAGCTAATAACCGCTTGCTGAATGGCAAATGAATGGGTGGATGAGTGGCTGGTTAGCCAGGGGAGTGGGCGGGTGGATGCATAGACAGGTCAATGGGTAGGTGGGTGGATGAACAGGTTAGACGGGTGAAGGAGTGGATGGAAGAACAGGTGGATGAGTGAAAGAATGGATAAATGGATAGGTGGGCGGGTGGCTAGATGACTGAATGAGAGAAATGAGTGGATAAATAGAGAGTAGATGGATGGATGGACACAGTATCAGTGGAAAGGATGGTGGATAAATTGATGGAGGGATGGATAGATCAATGGAGAGGTGGAGAGATGGAGGAACCAGGTAGCTGAACAGATGCACTTATTTATGAGTGCGTGCATGAGTGAGTGAATACTTGGGATGAATGGATGGAGAGTTACAAGCAAGGGTGGATAGAAGGAAAACAAATGGTTGGATGAATGAGTAGGTGAATGAATGGATGGATGGAAGGATAAATGGATGAACACACATACAGTGGACGGTTAAGTGAATGGATGAATCAATGGATGGATCGACGGCTCCAAGCATGAGTGGTTGGACGAATGGATGGGTGAGTGGCTGCTTGGACTGGTGGGTGAAGGGATGGATTGGATAAATGGATAGATGGGTGACACGAGAAATTTTTTCTTTGATAGCTCTGTGGAGGGTGATTGTGGCTGGGAGAATGAATGAGGCTTCCAAAGGGACACAGTTTTGGGAGCGATGGATCTGGGGTTAGACTAGGGGGCCAACTCCTGAGTCTTGGGCCTCCAGGGGGAAGAGGAGGAGGACCAGAGCCTGGACGGCATGGAGAAGGTGTCAAAGGGAGCCACCGGGCGCCTGCGGATCCCCCGAGCTGAACTGGCCCAGGCTGGCGCTTACCAGTGCATCGCGGACAACGGGGTGGCACCTCCGGCCCGAGGGCTGGTCCGTCTTGTTGTCCGATGTGGGTAACACCCAGGCACCTGACTCCAAGGCCTGCCACTACGCCCACAGCTCTCATGTCCTCCCGCTTGCCTCATGTTGACCCCCCAACCCCTCCTAGTCGCCCCCCAGGTGGAGCATCCCACTCCTCTAACTAAAGTGGCCGCCGCGGGAGACAGCACCAGTTCCGCCACCCTCCATTGCCGCGCCCGAGGTGTCCCCAACGTTGTCTTCACTTGGACCAAAAATGGGGTCCCTCTGGATCTCCAGGATCCCCGGTGAGCCCGGGCCGAGCCAGGCAGCACTCCAGCCCCGCCTCTGCAGCCCCGGCCGCTTCGCCTCCCTGAGCCCCGGCCCTGCTCCTCCCCAGGTACACGGAGCACACATACCACCAGGGCGGGGTCCACAGCAGCCTCCTGACCATCGCCAACGTGTCTGCCGCCCAGGATTACGCCCTCTTCACCTGCACAGCCGCCAACGCCCTCGGCTCGGACCACACCAACATTCAGCTCGTCAGCATCAGTATGGTGGGGGCGGGCTGTGGGGGTGCTGGCGGGGTGCTCCCGGGTCAGTTCCCAAGTCCCCGGTTGGCCCCAGACCGCCAGTGCTCCTGAAACTGGAGACCTGTTTAGGCGAGGATGGGGTTTTTGGCTGCCCAGAAAATCCTTCAAGGAAACCCACAACAAAAGCGCGCACACACACGATGGGGAGGGCCTACTTATTGGCTCAAATAACTGAAAAGCAGATTTTCAGGGGTTGCTGGATCCGGTTGAGCTGTCATTAAGAACTCTCCATCTCCTGGATCAGCTGTTCTATGCGTTGGCTTTATTCTAAGGCTCCTCAGCACGGCCTGCTAGGATTTGCAGAGGATGTAGAATTCTTTCTGTTCCTCACAGTGGTGTGAACATACTCGAATTGTATTTCATAGGCTCTACTTAGCTTCCAGCTCGTCTCTGAACCAATCATGTAGCCAGGGAAAGGCAAAGCTCTCATTGGCCAGACCTGGTCACATGTCCCTCCTACTAGGCACGGAGTCACTTCCCTGGCAAGCATGTGGCCTGAGAACGTGGGAGGTCCTGCGGAGGAAATTTAGGGTGCTGAGGCCCAGCGAGGTGGCTCACGCCTGTAATCCTAGCACTCTGGGAGGCCGAGGCGGGCGGATCGTTTGAGTTCAGGAGTTCGAAACCAGCCTGAGCAAGAGCGAGACCCCGTCTCTACTAGAAATAGAAAGAAATTAATTGGCCAACTAAAAATATATAGAAAAAATTAGCCAGGCATGGTGGCGCATGCCTGTAGTCCCAGCTACTCGGGAGGCTGAGGCAGGAGGATCGCTTGAGCCCAGGAGTTTGAGGTTGCTGTGAGCTAGGCTGACGCCACGGCACTCACTCTAGCCTGGGCAACAAAGCGAGACTCTGTCTCAAAAAAAAAAAAAAAAAAAAAAAATTTAGGGTGTTGAAACCAGAAGAAATTAGGGGAACGGATGTGAGAACCGCACAAAAAAATCCCCTATAAGGAACATACATGTTTGTATCCTCATTATTTGCAGTCAGTCCTCATTATTTGAAAATTCACCTAGTAATACTTGCTACGATTTATTTGTAATGCCAGTATCAATACTCACGGTGCTTTTGTGGTCATTTGAGGACATATACAGAGTGGCAAATAATTTGTGTCACTTGACGTGCATGGTCTTAGCTAAGACTGAACAAGGCGACACTCTGCCTTCTTGTTTCTGCTCTCATACTGTAAATGTGTCCTTTCTGTGGTTTATTTAGTGCTATCATTTTTTGCATCTTGTGCTTTTTTTTTTTTTTTTTTTTGAGACAGAGTCTCGCTTTGTTGTCCAGGCTAGAGTGAGTGCCATGGCGTCAGCCTAGCTCACAGCAACCTCAAACTCCTGGGCTCAAGCGATCCTCCTGCCTCAGCCTCCCGAGTGGCTGGGACTACAGGCATGCGCCACCATGCCTGGCTAATTTTTTATATATATATATCAGTTGGCCAATTAATTTCTTTCTATTTATAGTAGAGACGGGGTCTCGCTCTTGCTCAGTCTGGTTTTGAACTCCTGACCTTGAGCAATCCGCCCGCCTCGGCCTCCCAGAGAGCTAGGTTGACAGGCGTGAGCCACTGCACCCGGCCTCTTTTGTGCTTTTTGTTAGAGGTTTTGCTGCTTAACTTGGCTCCCAGCTCAGTGCTGAAATGTGGTCAGCGTTCCTAAGCTGTGATGTGCCTTACAGAGAAAACACCTGTGTTGGATAAGCTTCGTTCAGGCATGAGTCGCAGTGCTGTTGGCCATGAGTTCAATGATACATATTAAACAGGCGTCTTTGAACAGAAATACACATAAAACAAGATCGCATATTGATTGGCTGATGAAAATGCCGTGGTGAGAGGCTCGAAGAAACTCAATTCTGTGTTTCCCCTAGAAGCAAGTTTGGTCTTTGCTAAGTGACTTTATAGAACATGACTGCCACGAATAATGAGAATTAACTGCATATTTAAAATCACTCTTAGGAAAAACCTGGAAGGAATCTTCTAGAATTCTTCTGTATCCTTCCACTTCCTCCACCCTTTTCCCCGTAGGCCGCCCTGACCCTCCGTCGGGACTGAAGGTTGTGAGCCTGACCCCAGACTCGGTGGGGCTGGAGTGGAAGCCTGGCTTTGACGGGGGCTTGCCACAGAGGTTCCACATCAGGTGGGTCCCTGCCAAGGCAGGAGCGGGGTGGCAGCAGATGGGACTGGGGCACTTTTCTGAGCTGACTGTCCTCCCTGTCATGCAGGTATGAGGCCCTGGGGACTCCAGGGTTCCACTACGTGGATGTCTTACCGCCCCAGGCCACCACCTTCACGCTGACTGGGCTGCAGCCTGCTACACGCTATAGGGTCTGGCTGCTGGCCAGCAATGCCCTGGGGGACAGTGGACTGGCCGACAAGGGGACCCAGCTCCCCGTCACTACCCCAGGTGGGAAGGGACAGTGTTGGGCAGGTTGGAGTGTTCCTCAGAGGACTTACAGGGTGGTGTAGTGCAGTGGATGCTGTTATTACTCCCCTTTTACAGATGAAGAAATTGAGGCCCAGAGCAGTTAAGCAAATTGTCCGGGGTCACACAGCTAGGAAGAGGTAAAAATGAGATTGAAACTCAGGCAGATGAAAACCAGAGACCAGCCTTTCACCTTCGACTTATTATGTCTGAAGGTGACTAGCGGGCAAGGGAAATTAGAAAATAGTTTGAATTAAATGAAAATGAGGCTGGGCGCAGTGGCTCATGCCTGTAATCCCAGCACTTTGGGAGGCCAAGGTGGGAGGATTGCTTGAGGTCAGGAGTTAGAGACCAGCCTGAGCAAGAATGAGACCCATCTCTACAAAAAAAGAAGAAAAATCATCTGGGCATGGTGGTGTGCACCTGTAGTCCTAGCTACTTGGGAGGCTGAGGTAGGAGGATCAATGGAGCCCAGGAATTTGAGGTTGCTGTGAGATATGATGTCACTACTGCACTCTAGCCAGGGGGAGAGAGTAAGACCCTGTCAAAAAAAAAAAAAAAAAAAAAAAGAAGAAGAAGAAGAAAGAAATTAATTTAAATGAAAATGAAACATATAAAAATTTGGGCTTGCAGCTAAAACAGTGCTTTAGAGGGAAATTTATAGCATTAAGTGCTTATAGTAGACTTTTTTTAAAAGAGAAAAATGTGTGTCAAATGCATATTCTGAGTTTTCATTTTAAGAAAGTAAAAAAAGAACAAATTAAACCTAAAGTAAACAAAAAGAAGGAAATAATAAAGGCAAGAGAAGAAATTAATGAACTAGAAACCAGAAAAATAATAGAGAAAATCAATGAAACTGAAAGCTGATTCTTTGGGAAATAAATCAATAATGTTTATAAAGCTGTTCGAGACAAAAGAGAGAAGACACAACTTACCAATATCAGAAATGAAAGATCCCACAGACATTAAGAGGACAATTAGGGAATATCATGGATAACTTTATGTCAACAAATTCAGCTACTTTGATGAAATGGACAAATTCCTTAAATATGACTAATGAGGATACCATTTTGCTGATAGGCACTGTAGTGTAGTGGTTAAGCCCACAGAGCCTGGCTCAGACAAGCCTGGGTTCAAGTCCCCCCTCTGCCACTTCCTGGTTGTGTGACCTTAGGCAAGTTTGGTTTCTAAAAACAAGATATGTCACAGATTTTTGTGTTTAGTTTCTGAAAGGTCCATCTCACACAGTTGTGAGGACCGAATAAGTTAATATGTCGAAAGTTAGAACAGAGCTTAGAACAGAGCCCAGTACAAAGCAAGTGCTATCTAAATGTTCATTTAAGGAAGTAGCCCTCACCCACTCTGTTTATTTTGCCCCACGAAAGCTCCCTCTTTCTGTCTTCTCCTTCCTGATAGGGCAGCCTTTTTCTCTATGGAAGTAAGGACCTTTTCCCATCCCTACAATCTTCCCTGCCCTTTCCCTCCCCCCCCATGCTAGTCTTCCCTTTGAGCACTAAAACATTAAGTGCTACATTCACCTCCTTTGCTCTAGAACTTATACCTCTATTAACAGAGCCCAGAGTCTTTTTTTGGTTAACACAACAAATTGATAATTCAGGTGAAAAGGATCTTGCATGCCATAAAGCACTCATCGATTATTACTGTTATCAGCATTAGAATGCTATTAACAGTATTGCCATTATGATCAGCAATTTCTAGCTCTCTTTGAAATATTCTTAAGAAGCCGCTGTATACCAGTTCTCACGAGTCCGAAAAGCTCAAAAAGAGGCTGAGAAATATTTGAGGCTGAGAAATGTTTAAGGCTTATATCTCAGATTCTTGATGCTCATTTTCAATCTCCATATCCACCCCCCAGGCCTGGACCAGACTTCTGGAGAATCTGATGACCAGGTGCCCACAGAGCAGACACCTGCAGGCAAGTCCTCCGTCCCCTGAATCCTCGCCACCCTCCCCTGAGATGGAACTTCCCCGTCCCTGACCCCACCTCCGCTGCTTGGTAGTCACAGCTCCTTAAGACTTAGCTCCATCCCTGCGAACTCCCACCATGTCCTTCCTCAGCCCTTCTTCCTGCCGGAGTGATAGATTTTTCTCTTTCTGATTTAGTTTAATTCTGAAAGAATTAGCCAGCTCTGTGTCCTGTAAGGAGCTTGTGTCCATTTGCTCTTGCCATAAACCAACCCCCCCCCCCAAACATGGGTGCTACGGCAACAGACCTATATCTCATGATTCTACGGGTCTGGCTGGACGGGTTCTGGGCTGGGCGGGTGTGTGTCTCTCCTTGGCTTTCTCACGTGGAGGTGACCACATTTTGCAAGTTTCTGGTACTGTCACAGTTGCTGGTGTTTCCTTGGCCAGAGCCAGTGATATGGCTCAACACAGAGTCAGCGTGGAAAGGGAGTGCTTAGGAGTGTGGGTACAAGCCGGGCGCGGTGGCTCACGCCTGCAATCCTAGCACTCTGGGAGGCCGAGGCAGGAGGATCGCTCGAGGTCAGGAGTTCGAGACCAGCCTGAGCAAGAGCGAGACCCCGTCTCTACTATAAATAGAGAGAAATTAATTGGCCAACTAAAAATATATAGAAAAAAAATGCTGGGCATGGTGGCACATGCCTGTAGTCCCAGCTACTCGGGAGGCTGAGGCAGGAGGATCGCTTGAGCCCAGGAGTTTGAGGTTGCTGTGAGCTAGGCTGACGCCACGGCACTCACTCTAGCCTGGGCAACAAAGGGAGACTCTGTCTCAAAAAAAAAAAAGTGTGGGTACGACAGGAGGGGATTATAATTGCCTGGCAGACAGTCCCCATGGGAGCCTGAGTAGAAGGTTGTCAGTGACAGAAGTCCAGCTGCTGTTGGCACTGGATGAATTGCGTGGCTTGTGCAATTGACAAGTCTAAGTGTGGCTGGATTCAGGTGCTCCAAAATTCCACCAGCAATCAGTGTCTCACCCGTTCCCAACTTCACCTGTGTCTTGGTGGCTTCCTGTTCAGGCTCTTCCGTGGAGAGGGCGAGGAAGCCCTCCCCCACCTCCAGCTTTGGTTCCACTTCTGGGCAGCCAGCAGAATTGTCCTGAATGTTCTGGCAAAAAAGCCGCCTTAGGTCAACTACGTGTCTCTTTCCCACGACTGTGGAAAGGGGAGGGGAGCTCCTACTGTCCAGGCTGGGCCACCTGGCCACTATGGAGCCCCGCCTGAGCCCTGTAGGCCGAGGGCTGGGGGAGTGGGTGTTTCCCCAAAAGAAAGACAAGTTTAGTGTTCTCTGACCTTGGAAGAGGGACTCTGCTTGGTCAGAGAGTCCCACCCTGGGCCTGGAGCCCATTGTTTTGGGCTCACTGAGGACTACCTTCTGTCCCCAGGACCCTTGGGGCTGCCCCTGCTGCCCGTGCTGGTCGCCGTCGGGGGGCTTCTGCTGCTGTCCAATGCCTCCTGTCTCGGGGGATTCCTCTGGCAGCAGAGACTGAAGCGTCTCGCCAAGGGTGAGGAGAGACCTGCCCCCGCCCCCCACGATGTTGGGGACACAACGGTGACGGGGACCCCTGGGGTTGCCGTATGTTGAAGGTCCTCTCAGGGCCAGGTGTCTCTGACCCCTTCTTCCTGTTTCCCTCAGACATCTCAGAGAAGACGGACGCAGGGTGAGTGGGGATGTTTTCCTGTAAAGAAGACTCTGGCCGGGCGCGCTGGCTCACGCCTGTAATCCTGGCACTCTGGGAGGCCGAGGCGGGCGGATTGCTCGAGGTCAGGAGTTCGAAACCAACCTGAGCAAGAGCGAGATCCCGTCTCTACTATAAATAGAAAGAAATTAATTGGCCAACTGATATATATAGAAAAAATTAGCCGGGCATGGTGGCACATGACTGTAGTCCCAGCTACTCGGGAGGCTGAGGCAGGAGGATCGCTTGAGCCCAGGAGTTTGAGGTTGCTGTGAGCCAGGCTGACGCCACGGCACTCACTCTAGCCTGGGCAACAAAGCGAGACTGTGTCTCAAAAAAAAAAAAAAAAAAGAGAAGACTCTGAGGGGGAAGGTTGGGGGTGACAGGTGGCAGAGGGTCACCGCCCGGCTGCTCTCCACACCTCCCTCCCGGAAGGTCGGAGGAGGACCGCGTTGGGAACGAGTATGCGGACAGCCAGTGGACTGGGGACCGGGAAACCGGAAGCTCCACCGTGAGTAGGGTGGCGGGGACAGCCCCCTGAGCGGGCACTGACGGTGACCAAGATGCCGCCGATAGCTTCAAGCTAATCACCGCCCTGTCCAGGGCCTGTGGCGTCCGAGGACGGGAAGGACCGTGTCTGTTCTGTGTCTGTCTTGTGTGTGCGTGTGTCGCAGGTGAGCACCTCGGATGCGGAGCCGTATTATCACTCCATGAGGGACTTCGTCCCCCGGCTGCCCCCCATGCCGGAGGAGGGTGAGTCACGGCCGCATCGGGACACCCCCTACTCACCCGCCACCGGGCTGGGTGCCTTGATGATCCTGTCCTTCCGCCCCGACCCCAGGCTTCGCGGGGTTTGAAGAGGAGCCCGTGGTCTCTCCTGGGCACCTGTACGATGAGGTGGAAAGAGCTTACGCCCCGCCCGGGGCCTGGGGACCCCTCTACGACGAAGTGCACACGGTGAGGACATTTGTGTCGGCGGAGGTCTCTCCCGGGTAGTGCTGGGAGCCCGCCCGCCGCCTGCTGCTCGTGCTAGTTAGGGTCAGCCGGCTGCTGTGACAAAGAGGCCTGGCCACAACTTGGTGGCCTAAAGAAGACAGTCTGTTTCTTTCTCACGGTCGCAGGTGAGTGGCCCAGTTGGACATGGTTGCTCTGAGCCCCAAGTTCTTTCCACATGTGTTCCTCTGCTGTCTCCTAGCACCTCATCCGAGTCTGCACGGGTGGGCCAGTTCCCCGGGGAACAGGGGGCCAGCCAGTGGGAAAGGGACAGAGAGAGTGTGGTGGAGGCACAACCCTACCTGGTGGCCCAGGCCCAGAAATGGCACACGCCATCCTGCTCTCATTCTGCTGGTGAGGACCTGGTCGCATGGCCACGCCTAACTGCGGAGGAGGCTGTGGCGTGCAGTCCGGCGTGGCCCCGCTACCGTTCTGTCACCGCGGGAGAAGGAAGGCCTGCATTCCCCTGGGTCACGAATCATCTCCACTACGCTGGTTAAGCAGGGACAGAAAGAAGTTTTTGGCTCACTCCATTGCAAAGTCAAGGGACAGAATTGTCTTCAGACTCAGACTTTCCTCCCTAAAATTATCCCTAGCAAAGCCAGGTGTGTATCCTATTCGATTGGAAATCTCCAGAGCAAGAGAAGAGCTCTTTTTCAATAGCTTCCAGTGCCCAGTGCTGGCACTTACTGGTCTAGCTTGGGTCGCTGGTCACTGCTGAACTGATCACAGAGGCAGGGGACAGGCCCGGATCTGCGCCAGCACGGAATCAGGGAGCAGGGGCCAGCCCTACTCAGTTCACTGGGCAGACAGCGGGAGAGGGACAGAGAGCCCAGAGGGAAGTGGAGACGGTGGCTGGGCAGGCAAAACAGCAGACAGGCACATTGACCGCCAGTCCCCAAGCCCCACCCTGTCGCACAGTAAGGGAAGTGGGGCAGAAGCCCTGACTTTCTGTGTGGTCTTGGCCAATGCTCTGGCCCTTCTGGGCCAAGAATTTCCCTCTGTAACAGGATCCCACATGGGGACTCTGTTCTCAGACAGTAGCTCCCCGCCCGCATGGAAATAGCCCGTGCGAAAACGCTGTCCATGGTGCTAGCCCATATGCGCCCTCTTAGCACAGAGGGCCTCTGCAGGCTTTTTCTGCGAAGGGCCAGATAGTAAATATTTTGGGCTTTGTGGGGCATACAGTCTTCCTCAAAACGGTACAACTATTGTGTATACATAATAATTAAAAATTAAAAAGAAGAAAAGGAAAACGACTCAACGCTGCCACTCTAGGGTAAAAGCAGCCATACATGATGCATTAATGGACGAGTGTGGCTATGTTCAAATAAAACTTTATTTTTGGGCACCGAAATTTGAATTTCATGTAGTTTTCCTTTGTCACAAATATTATCCTTTTGATTTTTTCCCCCCCAACAATTTAAAAATGTAAAGCCATTCTTAGCTCTCGGGCAGTACAAAAGCAGGTGGCAGGCCCTGTCTGGATCGTGGGCCAATCTACTGTAAAGCTTGCTGAGCTAAAACAACCAATGCCTCCCAGCTTTAGGACAAAGCACATCTCCAGCAAGGACCACCCTTCATGGTCTTTTTTTTGCTCTTCTGTTTTGATGGGAGAAATGCTTTGGAAATTCACAGACTAACAGAATCACGACTCACATTCCACAACTGCCATAGCTGATATCATGGGCTTTTTAGATTTCAGACACTTAAATGATTTCCCTGACATAAACTCATGGGATGTCTTGGAATTGCTTCAAAATAGTCCTATTTGTGGGGTGGGGGGTAAGAAGACAGAGACATGGATAAATCAACTGACCAAGGGTTGACGCTGTTGAAGTTAGGCAGCGGGCACCTGGGGGTTCATGATGGGAGTTCATTATAATTGCTCTCCTCTTTGAATATGTTGGGTTTTTTTTTTTTTCCATAATTAAAACCTGAAACACTTTTTCTTTTTCCTGGGGAGTTGAGCAGGGCTGCATGTTCCCCAGCTCTGTGATGATGCCCCACAGGTCATCTCTCCATGGCTCTAACTCCACTCTTTGCCTGTTAGGGCCCCCGCGACCGCCGCTGGCCGGAGGGGAAGTACGAGGATCCGAGAGGAATCTACGATCAGGTGGCAGGAGACCTGGACACTATGGAACCTGATTCTCTACCCTTTGAGCTGAGGGGACATCTGGTGTGAGATCCGGCTCAACACCCTTTTCCTGCACCCACGGGACATAATACTCCAATGGTCCTTCGCATGCCAGCCTGGGCTGAGCTTGCTAAGTGAGCTTCATAAGACGCAAAGGGACTAGGCTTTTTCAGGAGAGGACACAGATGTGTGTGAGTGACAGAGGATGATTCAGGTTGGCATCAACATATACACAAGGCTCTTCCTGGGGGTTGGCTTTAGAAACGAACCTTCTCCAAAGAGACAGAGTGAATTGTAAATGACATCTCAAAAAATGAAAAGCTACTCTGAGGGTCTTTCTGCTTTTGGAAATTTTTTTAGAAGTGGGAAAAGACATATTAAGAACTCCATTATTTTCCATTCAATTACATCTGAAACAGCTAATAACAAGTGGAATTTATGAACCTTTGCTATGTCCTATCTATTCTTGTTTTATGATTTATAGTTACCTAAAATAGAATGTGTCAACTATGATACACATGTAAACATAAATAGACTCTATATGAAATCCAATAAACAGACTATTGAAACAGCTAGATGCAAAAGAATACATACTGTGTGCTTTCATTTATAGAAATTCTGCAAGGGCAAAACTAATCTGTGGTGACAGAGGACAGAGATCAGTAGTTGCCTAGGGCCAGGAGAGGGGGACTGACTGCAAAAAGACAGGAGGAAACTTGATGGAAATATTCTATATCATGGCTGTGCTGGTGGTTACCCAGATGCATAGATTTGTAAAAATTCATTGAACTGGCCGGGCGCAGTGGCTCATGCCTGTCATCCTAGCACTCTGGGAGGCCGAGGCGGGCGGATCCTCTGAGTTCAGGAGTTCGAGACCAGCCTGAGCAAGAGTGAGATCCCATCTCTACTAAAAATAGAAAGAAAGTAATTGGCCAACTAAAAATATATAGAAAAAATTAGCCGGGCATGGTGGTGCATGCCTGTAGTCCCAGCTACTCGGGAGGCTGAGGCAGGAGGACTGCTTGAGCCAGGAGTCTGAGGTTGCTGTGAGCTAGGCTGATGCCAGGGCACTCTAGCCTGGGCAATAGAGTGAGACTCTGTCTCAAAAAAAAAGGAAAACTCATTGAACTGTACACTTAAGATGGGTGCATTTCATTGTATATACATTATACCTCAATAAAAGTAATTTTAAAAACAGACTCCATAATGAAGCAGCCCAGTAAGAGAATCCTTAGTCTTTATATTGAATAGCAGGACAAGTGAGAAATCTGCCTATTTCCATGAAGAAAAGAGCATAATGTAGGTAGTTAAGTATGATCTTTCTTTAAACCTCCACTTCTCTTTGATTAACCACATTGTCAAAACTTTAGTTCGAGTGTTTGTCAATCTATTATTTGTTATCAGCCCAGACTAGAATACATTTTTGCACCACAGCATTTGAATGCAAAATCACATTAGGATTCGAATGATTTCCCTTTAATTATAAGACGATTTCATTCCTAAAAGTAGACCTCTAATGCCTACAGCGCCCTCCAATCCATGCAGCAGCCAAGAACATTTGTGAAAATTTCCAAAGCCCCCACCAGGGGACGGTACTGCCTCTTTTAAGAAGAACCAACCTCACCTGCCATCTGAAGCAGCACGTGCATGTTGGGTTCTGGAGCTCAGGAGAAAGGTCTGCGCTAGGGATTAAAACTGACCAGGGAGTTGTTATACATCATTACCGGGAAAATTGAGCACTGTTCTCTTGAATCCACTGGCAGAGGACAACTAGAGGCTTGCCTCTGGTGTTTCCTGGGCCCTGTGCACCTCTTCCCTTCACTAATCTTTTTTGTTGTTGTTGTTTTTTGAGGCAGAGTCTCACCCTGTTGCCTGGGCTAGAGTGCCATCGTGTCAGCCTAGCTCAAAGCAACCTCAAACTCCTGGGCTCAAGCGATCCTCCTGCCTCAGCCTCCCTAGTAGCTGGGACTACGGGCATGTGCCACCATGCCCGGCTAATTTTTTTCTATGTATTTTTAGTTGGCCAATTAATTTCTATTTTTAGTAGAGACAGGGGGTCTCACTCTTGCTCAGGTTGGTTCCGAACTCCTGACCTTGAGTGTTCCACCCGCCTCCTCGGCCTCCCAGAGTGCTAGGATTACAGGTGCGAGCCACCGTGCCCGGCCCCCTTCGCTAATCTTAATCTTCATCCTTTCACTGTAATAAACCATAACTGCGAGTATAATGGCTTCTCTGAGTTCTATGAGTTCTTCTAAAGAATCGTTGAACTTGAGGTGGTCTTGGAGATCTCCAAACACTGGGGCAACTCATCACATAGAACTCATCAATGGAGACAGGCATCGGTGAGACTGTGCACACAGCACTTGACAATCACAGGCAATGCTTGCCGAACACATGTTGTGTACCCGGTTGTGTGTGTTCATTAACTGGATCCTCATATCAACCCTGGTAGGCTGATACTATGATTAATTTTTTCCTTTATTATGAAATGTATTGTACATTTGAAAATGTATCAAACATAGATTATGGCTTTAAAAAATACAATGTGAACAACTGTGAATCCTCAACCATGCTAAGAAAACAAGACAGAGAAGACCCTACGCCTCCACCCAGTTATGACTCCTCCCATCCGCCGGAGGTACCCTCTCTGACTTCTGTGATCATCATTTTCTTATCTTCACAGTTTGACCACCCACATATGTAGCCCCAATATTTTATTTTAGCTTCACTTTCCTTTCTTTTGTATGTATTGAACAGAATCACACAGCTTGTCCTGCTTGGTGTCTGGCTTTTTTCACCCCATATTGTGAGATTTAGCCTTGTGGTTGAAGGTATTAGTAGCTCACTCTTTTTCATTACTATATAGTATTCTATTACATGAATATGCTGCAATGTGTTCCATTTTCCTGTTGGTGGAAATGTGGGTGGTTTCCATTTGGGGTTATTACAAACAGTGCTCCTCTGAACCTCCTTTCCTGTGCATGTTTCCTAAAGCCCATGTTCAAGGTTTCTGGCATATGTGCTTAGCATGAACAGCTGGGTTATAGGGTAATCTGTACTTTCAAATTCAATAAGACTGCACTGCCTCCAATTTTAAGGTGAAGCAATTGCAGCGAGAGAGGTGAGGTAGCTTGCCCAACATCACAAAGCCAGATGGCTTTGAACCCGGGGATCCTTGCTCCAGAGCGCACACTCCCAAGTGGCAGCTGGGCACAGGTTGGGCACCTCCTAAGTGCAAGCTGCTGAGCTGAGGATTGTTGCGGGCTGTTACTGGGGGGCTCCTCTCCGGTTACCGTTACTCTGAACTCTGTCCCCATCAGTTAAAAATTAACTGCTCCCCGCAAGGAGCCTGTGACCCTAAAGATTTGTCTGGTTAATCAGTCACTGGCCCCTGTTCACCGCTGGTGAACCTGCTGCCTCCAGAGTCCCCTGCCCTGGCGCGGAGGTGGCGAGGGACCCGTGATGCTCCGCACCTGCCGAGTGCTCTATTCCCAAGCCGGCCCCTCCGCAGGCGGCTGGCAGCCCCTGAACTTCGATGGGGGGGCCTTCCACCTCAAGGGCACAGGAGAACTGGCGAGGGCTTTGCTGGTGCTGCGGCTGTGCGCCTGGCCCCCTCTGGTCACCCATGGGCTGGCGGTGAGCAGTGACCCCCAAGAACTGGCCTAGAGGCTCCCCATGGCCCGGCGCTGAGCCCTTGCTCCCTGTCGCCCAGCTCCAGGCCTGGTCTCAGCGGCTCCTAGGCTCCCGGATCTCGGGGGCGCTCCTCCGAGCATCCGTCTACGGGCAGTTCGTGGCTGGCGAGACGGCAGAGGAGGTGAGAGGCTGCGTCCGGCAGCTCCAGACCCTGGGCCTCCGGCCCCTGTTGGCAGTGCCCACCGAGGAGGAGCCAGACTCAGCGGCCAAGACGGGGTGAGTAGGGGCCGGGGCCCAGGGAGGCTGGGAGGCTGGCAGGAAGGGGCTGTGCAGCCTCCAGGCCCTGACGCCTGCCGGCTGGGCAGTGAGGCCTGGTACGAGGGGAACCTCAGCGCTATGCTGCAGTGCGTGGACCTGTCACGAGGCCTCCAGGGGACCCCTGGCCCTGCCAGGAACAACCTCATGCAGCTGAAGGTGACGGCGCTGACCAGCACGCGGCTTTGTGTAAGGGACAGGCGAGACTGGGGTGGGGGGAGGGCGCGCTGCCCGCCAGGGTCCCCTCATCAGCCCACCCACCGCCCCATTGCAGAAGGAGCTAACCTCGTGGGTCACAAGGCCGGGCGCCTCCTTGGAGCTGAGCCCTGAGAGGCTGGCAGAGGCCATGGACTCCGGGCGGGTAAGGGCCTCAGGGGGGCGTGTGGGCCCTGCACCGGGGTGCAGCAGGCTCTACACACAGGGTGCACCAGGTGTTTGCCTTGCACCACTTCCCAGGCTTAGGACGACCAGCATAGACGTGGCTGCAGCTCGGAGGCACGGGTGAAATGAATAGAACGGGGGTCGTCCCGGGCCCTAGGGGAGGGGCTGGGGCCGGAGCTCTCAGAGGCGGGTTGGCATAGCAGCTCTCTATCAACCACAAGAAAGTATATCGACATGTTATCAGTCACCATTGTCATACTGATGCGTGCTGGCCGCATGTAAGCTCTGATTGGACCACCAGAATTTTAATTCATTCATTCCTTTTCCTCTTCATAAAGTTGCCAATGGCAACTACAATAACTCCACCTTGTATGATGTGCATCTTTCTGTTCCTGTGGTTTGGTTTTGCTAAGTCTGAGGGGCAAACTTTCCCCAACGTTTTACGAAAAATGTCAAACATACAGAGAAGTCAAAAGAATTGCACAGCGAACACCTGTATGCCGCCACCTTTTAGGTTTAACTCTATTTGCTTTAAACCGCAGCCATCCCTGTATCTATCCCTCTACCCATCCACCGGTCCAACTTATTCTTTGAGCATCTCAAAGTTGCAGACATCAGTACACTTTGCCCCTAAATGCTTCAGGCTGTGACTTATTAATTAGAACTCAGCAATTATTTGCAGCGCTATTTTTTTCGTCGGAGGTGAAACTTACATGCAACTGAACCGGTTGTAAGAGCGTGCCCCAGGCCAACACTGACAGACGCTCGCACCCCAGCACCCCAAGCCCCGCTCGGGACGGAGAACATTTCCGTCACGCGGAAGTTCCCTCCATCGGTCAGGGGGCAAGATTTAAATTTACGCAGACAGCGTTATGTTGGCTTTGTCACTCTGTTTCTCACTTTTCCCACTGAGCACTCTGATTTTAAGACCCATCCATGAGTCTGTGTATGTCTGTGATAACTGTCACTTCTAACTGCGTCATTTACCTCTCTGGGGATGGGGATGGACACCTGGGTATTCTCTGGGTCTCCACTACCCCGCAAAATGCTACGGTGGATATACTGATGTCTGTTTGTTTGTTTGTTTCTTTTCTTTTCTTTTTTTTTTTTTTGGGAGACAGATCTCTCTAGAGTGCAGGCTGGAGTGCAGTGGCGTCACCATAGCTCGCTGCAACCTCAAACTCCTGGACTCTAGTGATCCTCCTGTTCCAGCTACTCGGGA